TTGTCAGCAAGAGAATGTGTTCATAAACTGGTGATTAAATAGTTTAAAATCAGAGAAGTAAATTAACACGTCATTTAGCCTTTTACAGTAAAAATTATTTTACTTGGAAAATAAGTAAGAGTTTTTTTTTTTGAAGATTTTAATTTCTCTTAATTCATAACAGCTGTTTATTGATATATAGTTAAGGGCACATCTCCTATTTTCCGTTCTGAAATGGACCAGTCCTTTTATTTTCTGTTTTCAAAAAAGTAACTAACATTTACTTAAAGCTACATTTTGTTTAGGTAATTTTTACTTTTATTAGAGTAACATTTTGTAAACTTTTTCATTTATATGTATGATTTTCAAATCTAATTAAGTATAAGTCACATGGAATCAAGTTTGATACTAGCAAGATGTACAATAAAAATGTCAGTAAGCTTCTAAACCTATGAATCAATGAGACACTTTGTTGTGCTCTTATTTATCTTTATCATCTTGGTTTTATCAGATACTGTGATGTAGAAAGTAGCTTTGACGTATTTCACATGGATCAGTTTGCTTTCATGTGTTGGTGATGCATATCTCTTCCATTTTTAAAACTTAAAAAAAAAGTAAGCAAATGACTTAACCAGCTGCTTTCCTATGTGTCAGAGGTGCCCGTATTCGGCTGTAATTAGGGTTATTATAGTAAAGATATATGTGCCAAATACAGAGCTGTGTAAATGTGTACATAAACCTAAGCAGTGAGGTAAGCAAGAAAGATCCAAGAATAAGATGTTAGTAAACCATAACCCCAAAACCTTCATGAATTTAAAAAACAGTGAAAGAAACTCAGTAGGCACAGTAGAAAATCAAATACTATGGGTTAATCACACTAGAAGCCAGAAGAGAACCTGAAGTTTTCTGCATTTCAAAATCAATTTTGATGTGTGTTTGACTTTTTAGGTAGCTTTCATCTACATTACTTTGTTACATTTTTTCAGTTCACCTGAGCAATTGGTAGACGCAAATACCATATCTAACATTTAAAGACTGGTCATGTAGTTCAACACCTAAGTCTTTATCTATCATGGCTATAAATCTATTGTCATACACAAGTTGAATCTGCATTACTGTAGACTTTGAGTCTTGAAACCAGTTTTGTTTCATCTGGAGGTCTGGTGAATAAAAAACATTTATAGATCTAATAGTTAATGTCAACCATACAACCAAATGAGCTCTACAAAGATGTAACCCCTCTTTGTTCATATTCATTAATCCAGGAGGCTGAAGTTGACAACAAAACCCTTTATCTCACTGTATTTACTCTAACAAGGAAGGAAACTAAGTTGAAACTAGTATGACAGGTCCATTTAGTAATAAATTATGGAAGGGTCTGGGCATTCAGCTGTCAAGTGTAACATTTTTACTGAATGCAACAAATACAACCAGCCGTTGACTAAATCAAATGACTTTAAGAAAAACAAATTTGACAAATTTCATCTAAATACTTGCAAAAAAATCAGGCAGACGGTAAACTTCAGAAAAAGGCTTTAATCTCGTCCAGACTGGAGGATGTGTGTTTCAAAATCTGGTCTATGCCTAATAACTAGTTGGTTTAAACATATTTTTCTGTAAAAACTTACATAATGTGTCTTTAAATAAATTGATTAGATATGGCCAAAAATCTGTACCAAATGCTAAGCAATATAATTATAGAGTTATAGAGTAAAATAAAAATTATTTTGACAATTATTAACTTAGTTTAACACTTTTAAAAAATCAACACTAAGTGGAGTAAAATTAATTGTAAAATTCAGAGTTCCAAGTTTAACACCGTACAGGGCAGGACCATAACCTGGCTCAGTGTTGAAATTGACTTTTGGTGTTAAAGTACAATTTTATATTTATCTCAAGGTGTACAGCCAAAACTTGAATAAGAATTTTGAGGGGAAAAAAAATCTTTTTATTAATTTCAGCACATCAAAAAAATGGCAATAAAATCTTGGCATAGAAAACAAAATAAAAAACATTTGCATTTTTCTCCTTGGAAAAGAAGGATGTTTTTTCATATATAGACCATCTTTTAAATCTAAATACAAACCGCTGAAATATGGTCAGATGAAAATATTCAACATGCATTTAGATTTGTAAGAATAGATCGCAGTGTATCTAAAATTGGAACATATGTAAACTTGTCTGTAACAACCACTTGATCATAAATTCCAGTACATCTATTTATTCTATTTTCAACAGGTTGAAGACAGAAACCTCAACAGGTTAAACAATCTTCCACTTTTCTTTAAAATATGCATTTCGTATGTATGAATTAAGGTTTAGAAAATGTCCTTTTTGCTTATTTTTTGTATAGAAATGATCACTGCAAAATTTTTTTTATGGTTGAATGTTATTCAACCATAAAACTCTAGCTGAAAAAATGGTAGCCTTTTGAGTCATACGTTGAGAAAAAAAACAAAAGCGTTGACGTTATTCCTGACACACATAGTAAACCTTTTGTTTGAAGTCCTCATGCCAACCTAGAAGTTTTCCAGTTATGCGAGTTTCATACCAAAAAAAAAAAACTCTCTCTAAGACACAACACTCGAAGACATTCTGTTCTTTAAATAACACAAATAAAAGGAGAGATTTATGTTCAGCATGTGACAGACAGCATGAGCAGGAAATATGTGTTTGTTTGTTTATCCAAGATGAAAACAATAGACTTCTGTAGTTTGAAGTGCCAGATTGTAATAGATAAACTTTACTTCTTGATAACTGTACACGAAAAAGTTTATTGAGGTGTGCATTTCAGTCATACTAAATACTATTATTTTAAATCCTTCAAGACTAAAGTACTAATAACACACATTAACACTGAGCCTAAGAAGACACAAAATATTGTTAATAGATATTAAAATATATATCAAGCCAAGAAAAACAATCATTTCTAAATAATGAAGTAAACCCATCTTACATACAACAGAGAGCATACCTGACAGAAATAAACAGTATGTATTAATATAATTGTCTACTTGGTTTTCAGTCTTGCCTTTTCTCCCAAGGTTGATCAGTGACTTATATCTGTTTATTCACCTGTTGTACATGAGAATGACTCAGTCATGTGTGTGTTAATGGCCATTGTTGATTTACTTACTAAGACTGCTTTCAGTTCAAAAGAAGCCTATAAGACTTACATATGCCTTATGTAGGGTAGCACAAAAATGCACTCATTATGATAAGAAAGACAAAAGAGCATGACTATAAAATAAATTCATGAAAAGAAATTGATTTAGGAAAAAGTGCATGTGAAAAAAATGGAAAATCATGTCTTAATAAAAAAAAAAAGTGATCGGAGAAATGTACTGAATTTTTTGCACTCGACTACATGGCGCTTTTAGATGCTATCTTTGGCATTTGGACAGATCCCACAGAGGGTTCCATTGTCTATTCTAAAGGTGTTTGGCAGTGCGTGACTATAATGTGCACATCATGAGATTCTATTTAACAGGTGCTGCAGGAATATCAGGTTCTGCCATGACTTGTAGATAATCATACAGCTTACGGGTTTTCCATATAAAAGTAGTACAATGCAGTGCAGAGCAGCATCAGCTTGTAAAACAGCTTTGTAACCTTAAAGTAGGGCATGCATTCATACTTAATCAAGCTAGTAATTATTGGGGTTATGGCACCCCCCACCCAGAAGTATGATCCATTCAATCAGACCCCCATCACTACCACCAAAGTAAATCACGTTGCTGGGATTTCCATTAATGTCATATTGATTTTATTCTATATTTTTATTTTTCATCTAACATATAATGTTTAATTTTAATCATCTGATAATGTAACACCAAACTCCTCACCAACCTCTAGCTGACTAAACCAGCTGCTTTTTCCTCCTAGCGTTCATGGTTTGCTGTAGGCATGCCATAGATTCCCTAGCTGGCAGGAGTTGATGTAAAGATGACATGAGTGCATAAAATGTACACATAATAACTTTTCCTAGTTGGTGATTTTCGTCTCTTTGTAAAAACAGACAAAAAATCAAACTCAGGCAAATCTAGGTCACCTAATGATTTGCATGTGCCACATGCACATGCCTGTATGCCTGTCTGTATGATTCCAAGGTTGAGGAGTAAAGACCTTTCGCAGACCACTGCACCCAACATGACAATTAGTTAAAAAAAAGAGGAATAAAATTTTTATTTTCTCACATGCAGCACATGCAGCAATACAACAGTGCAACCAAGACCACTACCTGAGGCAGGCAGAAGCCTCAATGTGTCACTTCTGAAGAAGTCCAGAACGGCTGTTCATCTCAGAATCATCAGCTTACCTCATTCATTTACCATAAACTTTACACAGCCACTGCCTCGAACAGGGGAGACGGCTACTGTGGAGTCACTGGGAGAATTAGATTATTGGACATGGCCAAATAGGGACAGTTTGAAGTCAGCAGCATAACACATAACAGGTTAAGCTTAGGGGTCAGTCATTGTAAGCTCCAGCCAACCCCTCATTTTTACCCTGCGAGACATACAGTTATTTTTAGTAGCATTTTTATTATCATGATGAGTGACAGAGAGCCACCAGTTAAAGTTTAATAGTCCCAAAAAGATAGAAGTACAAACATTTATCTCTTTGTGATGGAGCTCACAGAGAGATAAATGTTTGTTTTTTTCTATCTATTTTTCTAACAAAAAGGTTGGGCCACTGCATGTTTTGTGTTTGCCAAGTTCTATTTCTGTTTTTTGTGCTGCATACATTCTTTTCTTAATTACACTTTTTCTTTACCCAACCCTTTCAATTGCTTCACTAAGTTAAAACAAAGAACACAAAGTGAACATTCATATGAAACTATGCATATCTAACTACTTCCTTAAAGTGTTGATCTGGTTATTGTTTCTAGAGAAACACTGTCAGCTCGGTTTTCTTGTATTGAACCAAGATCAGTCATCTTACTGCCGGCTGATTAATGGCCTAAACAATGTAACCTTTGCCACACCTTATGCTGGCTGTGCTTAAAAGGAGAGAGGCTGAGCACCTGCTGCATCCAGCATCAGACTCCAGGTGAAGCAGGTAAACTTCTCTAACATTGCTCATCTCTCTTCTTTGATTGATGTTTTGTTTCATAACCAAGATTATAACATTTAACTCAAAAACAAAACTCTACTTTACTCTACCTAGATTCAGACTTTTTCAGGTCATAAGGTTCCCTGCAGAGGAGAAGCAACATGATTCCAGTTTTCCTCTTTCTCCTCTTCCTCTCGATGACAGCTGTTCCACTGGTATGTAGGAAGACAGAAACCTCAAATGCTTCTTTGCACCAAAGAGACGGTTAATATGTTTAGGTATAATGTTTTTTTTCAGCATTATAAACAGAAAATGTCAAAAGTGTAATGAAACAGAAAACGTGGTTGTGATGACATGCTGAAGTCTCTGTTTGTGTTGCAGAGAGCAGCTGACAATGAAAACCAAATTGGTGAGTGCTCAAGTTAACATCAAAAATCCGGAAGGAAAATGTATCACTTTCTCTTGTCAGGTAGACTTATTTTTTCCTTTTCCACAGATGAGAACACAGATCCCACTGAGGTCATCTCCAAAGCAAATGCCGACATAAGTAAGATGACAGTTACACACAATCCTGAGGCTGTAATTTAATTTCATATTTCCAAGAGTAAACCAGAATGAATATTTTTGAACTTGTCCACTGTTGTATTTAGATTAGCCACTAGATGAGAGAAGAAAAACACAGGAAATTAATACAGTAGAGATCCTTAATACAATGTACCCATATTGTTAGAGATAGAGTTGCCAGAAATACAGTAATTAAAAAAAAACATTTTTGGTTTGATAAGGTTGATAAACTGCTATTTCTGTGTTATTTTTTATGGTTTTCAGAGACACCACTCATCTTTGGTGACATTGCACCGAGCAGAAAGAGGAATGCAGTACCATGCACAGCAACGGGCTGCAAATGGCCCAAATCTGGAAGTTATGTCTATATTCCCATCTACATTTCCAATCAGTACTGTAAGCATCTCCAATATCTAATTAATTACAAAGAAATAAAGAGAAAAACTTGACATAATGTTAAGATATTGATTAGACCCAAACAGTATGTTTTCTGTCAAAAGAGAATTTTCCATGATATTTTGTCAAATTTTATCCTAAATCATTTTAGTTCATTATCAGTTTTAGGTATTATTCTTCTGGTTTTGGACTTTGACATAGTTGTATTTGATGAAAGCAAGATTTATTCAATCACTTGTGTTATTCTACACATTTGCCCTGAGAGGTGTGATAAGCAAGATGAAGCATTCTTTAATTTGGGATAACAAAGCTAAAACTTTCCATTTGTCGACCTTTGGTAATTCTAAAATGTTTGACCTCTGTCTGGTGAAATTTAATTCTAATCTCACTAGATCAGAATTAGAACCAGTTCAACCAATCCCCCTTGCT